GATTTGGACCTGTTAGCCCTTCAAACAGAGGACTGTGCTCTGCAAAGTAGGACATCCAGGCAAAAGACAGGGCTGCCCATTGTGGGTTTAGGCCAGTGATATGATAGCAGAGACTGCATACTATGAAAAGGTACACATTACATTCATTGCTCCACCATTCATTTTGCCTCTGACCTTGCCCATCTCTGGCATGTGGCCCCCTAAGAAGGGACTGTGGCCCTCAGGCTGAAGGAGTTTCCTCACCTCCACCAACACCCTTCCTGCACTTAGTGATGCCCTGAAATAATCACAGACACTCCCTGCTCCCTCTCTCAGGTGGCAGTGCATCCTCATTCAAATGTCAGCTCTGCTCTTAAGTCACCTGGGTATCTTAAGCTGCTCCTGAGGTACAGTCTCAGGTGGTTATTGTCTCCATCAGTCAACTCAGCTGAACAATCTGAGTGGCTCACCAGAAGCACAGATCACTGGGCAGCCACTTTTGAGGAGACTATTTGAAGGAGTCTCTTGGCTACTTAGACGTGTTTTGATTTTGGGGCAAGTTTCCTAACTTGTCTTTTATCTGCATTGGACCAAAACATGAGACCGTCTCCCAGCTTAGAAGTGCAAATTTAAGCAAACAAGTACTGTGATTTGGTAAAATACATTAAAAAAACCCATATTCATAAATATTAATAAAAAACATATCCGTCCTTATGCCACAAGATTAGACTGTGATGAACATGTCTTCTCAGATTAGCTGAATATGTAAACAAACCATTCACTCTTTTGGGGGTGCTTCATTATGTTTTTGAATATTGTATTTTTATTTTTATTTTAATTATGGCCAGGGGCCTCAAAAGCTGGAAGCGGCCCAGGTCTCTCTGGGCCATTGGGAGGGCCTGATGGGAGTGGTCCATACCTAGAGGGATGACCACCTGGGAATGACACATCTGCTGTTTTGGGTTCCATCATGATGAAAGAAATGTGGGATACAAATATATATATATATATATATATATATATATAAACAAATTCTCCCAATGCTGTTTTAAAAACAAATAATAACAACAAACTTGACTCTGGAAGCTGTGTGGCAAAGTGATCGGAAGGTCAGACTAGGACCAGGGAGACCAGGTTTCAAAGCCTCACTTAGCTGTGAAATTTCCTGGGCGGCCTTGGGCTAATCACTGTCCCTCAGCTTTGACCTACCTCACAGGGTTGTGGTGAGGATAACATGGGGGAGGGGGAAGTAAATAAACTTGCTAATTGTCAAACTGCATCATCTTGGCGGCTGGCGGTTGAAGCTGAGAGACTGTTCAGTTCAGACTCAAACAGCTGACACCCACCAGAAAAGGGGCTCCTTAAAATTTTTTTTTAAAGCCTTAGAAATAGGAGTAAGTGGATTAAACAGAGGTAGGAATAAATTTATGGATCTTCTGGAGTACCAAGTGGTCTTCAAGTGGTTTTTCTAAGAAACTTCTATTATGCAATAATGTGAACAGCACAACATTCTGTAAAAGAGCAAAATGACAGGCTTTTTGCTGTTCTGCCATTCCACAGTACAGCGCTCTCTCTCTCTCGCTCTCTCTCTCTCTATATATATATGAGATGTCATTTAAAAATTTAAAAATTCCAGGAAATGATTCTGAGTCAATAGATATGGGATGAACTTTGGCTTAGCATGCCTATGCATAGTTTCAATAAATGAAAGTAATTAGCTTTCTCCCCCCACCCTTTTTTTAAAAAAGTCAGGAAATACACATGGATTCATAGAATTACAGAGTTGGAAGTGATCTCAAGGATCATCTAGTCCAATCCCACTGCAATGCAGGAAGTTAGATGTCATCGCACCAAGCAAATGTTTCCCAGTGCATTTTACCATCTTTCCTTATTGCAAAATGGCTGGGGTGGTGTGTTTTTTGGTTTTTTTGTAAGGTTGGAGCTCCAAATCTTTCATTGTGCAACCTGAATTTGCTGGTATGTGATTGAATCCCTCTGAAAAATAGCAACAGATTGGAGGCAACCTTAGTTTAATGGGACTTATTCCCAGGTAAGTGGGTATAGAATTGCAGTCTAATCCATTCACTTTGAGTATAATTTAGTTGCGTGCTGAAATGCTGGTCCCCTTTATCATATCATTCTATGTCTCTTCGTACGCAAAGAGAGATTTTCCTGTAATGGCTTAAACATGCTAATATGATAGTAAATAAATTGATCTTTGGGCACCAGCTCAATAAAGCAGTTAAAGCTGTGTAAATCAAAATCAATAGGGCTGAAATACCTGCCCGTGATTAAGAAAGTGATTAAGTAAAAGGTAAAGGTAAAGGTAAAGGAATCCCTAACCGTTAAGTCCAGTCGCGGACAACTCTGGGGTTGCAGTGCTCATCTTGCTTTACTGGCCGAGGGAGCCGGTGTTTGTCTGCTGACAGCTTCTAGGTCATGTGGCCAGCATGACTAAGTCACTTCTGGCAAACCAGAGCAGCACACGGAAACACCATTTACCTTCCCACTGGAGCGGTACATATTTATCTACTTGCACTTTGACATGCTTTCGAACTGCTAGGTGGGCAGGAGCAGGGACTGAGCAATGGGAGCTCACCCCGTTGTGGGGATTCAAACCGTGACCTTCTGATTGGCAAGCCCTAGGCTCGGTGGTTTAGACCACAGCGCCACCCGCGTCCCGCAATTAAGTACCTTCCCCAATAGAAAAAGACTGCTGACAGGATCAAGGGTCTTGATAACATGCCAGTCTATTAACCTTGCTGCTGTTTGTTAAGAGAAAGTGGCAGAAGGTAGGGTTGTGGGGTTTTTTGTCTTTTCATTTGCAGTATATAATTAAGTCAAAGAGAATCTTATCCTAACCAGAGGTTGTTAAATTCCAAGAGATTCCCAAGAAACCATAACAGCTGGCTGATGCCACTTTGAGCATCTTTGGATGCCTGTGACCAGAGCAGGGACAGGGAACCTATGTTTCCCCCCCCAGGTGTTATTGGACTACAGTTCCCATCATTCCTCACCATTTGCCATACTGGCTAGTGCTGACAGGAGTTGGAAATACAACAACATCTGGAGAGCCTCAGGTTCCCTAAAACAGAGGGACAGAGAAAGCAAGTAGACTGTGTTTCCTGTTATTGCTGCATGCAATAATAGGAGGCTTAGGTCTAATAGGGGCAGTTTCAATAAAGATAAAGAAATCAGCACAATAGCCCCTTTCCCACTCATGATCACCAGCAACTGGTGTTCAAGGCATACTGGAGGTAGTATGTAGCCATCACATTGCTGGTGGCCATGAAAGTCCTTCTTCACACCTCGACACTCAATAGCTATGGAATCTGCAGCTATAGTGGTGAGTGATGCAGCAGCTACACCTGGCTGAAAGGGGTATTAGGTAAATTCATGGAGGAAAGGACCATTCATGGCTATTTGCCATTACAGTCACCATACATTCAAAGCACATTTCTTCCCTCCAAAGAACCCATGGGCACTGTAGTTTTATCCCCACCCCACCCCCACAAACTCACAGTTTGCTGAATCATTAGCAAACGACCATTCCCAGGATTCTTTGGGAGAAGTCGGTCATGTGCTTTAAAAGTGTGTTTTGCCAAGGAATACTAGATGGAGTGGGGCTTGGGTAAGAATAACAGGGGATGTGGGAAGGTCATGGCATGTTTCCCTCCCCCCCCCCAGGCATCTAGTTGCAAACAAGACCTTGGGTGGACTCTGGTGGGCCATTGGTCTGAGCCAACAGCAGGACCCTCCTGTGGTGGAATAGGTCAGTGTGCCTGGCTGTTAACCAGAAGGTTGGTGGTCCGAGGCCACTCAGGGATGTCTGTGGGCTATATATATTGTCTACCAACTTTTTTTTAAAAAAAAACCAACACCTCTCACTTTAGAGCAGTTCCTTGAGAATTTGCTGGAGAACCTACAGGTAAATGACTGTAGGTCAAAGGCTTTACTGCATTTTCATTTGCTGCATGCAAAGATACAATAGAATTACTGTTTTATAAACTGTTCTTTCTATTACAATATTGTATTTCATATTAGACTAAAGCAGTAATCAGGAGATTCCATCATCTAAAGCAGGGTAAACATTAATAAAGAGAAGGTCAGTTCCCATGTCCTAAAGAAGCAGAAATAATAATAAGAAGTAGAGTTTGGATTTGATATCCCGCTTTATCACTACCCGAAGGAGTCTCAAAGCGGCTAACATTCTCCTTTCCCTTCCTCCCCCACAACAAACACTCTGTGAGGTGAAGTTTGACTAGCCCAAGGTCACCCAACAGCTGCATGTGGAGGAGCAGATTATGAGTCTACCGCTCTTAACCACTACACCACACTGGGTTTGGGTTTGAGGGAAACATGGATTTGTGTTTCCATTTCCATGCTTGATTGAACCTGGACTGTGGGGTTTAAGCTTCACACAGGCATTCATAATTTAAGTTATTTATTTACAATGTTATATAGAGCTCCCAGGCCTGGGTAGAGATTTTCTTAAGATGCGATACAGAGAAAGGCTAGATTCTAGGGAGCAGGCAGGTCAGCATGGAAGATGACAGCCTTTTAGATGGTAGGAGAAGAAGTGTTTGTTACTCATGCATCTTCTGTCACTCCTTCAGACTATCTGAAGTGGCCAAGAAAAGCAAGAAAGCAAATGACAGCAAAAGAGACAATGGGTTGTACTCAATGTTGTCATTCCACTCTTGCAAGAGACTTCTGCTTCTCCAATAACACTTCGCCCTCCTCTCCTCTCCTGGCTGTGGGCAGGATTCCTACATTGCAGGGGGTTGGGTTGGATGACCCTTGGGGTTCCTTCCAACTCTACACTTCTATGATTCTGTGCAATTCTTCGGATGTTCACGCACAGCCTTGAGGTGATGCTCAGCATCCTCATCCCTTCTCCGTTCGAAACACCGCTCGCCTCCGCTCAGGCCAATAGGAGGCGGCCGCTGGAGATGCAGGCGGCCGCGATTGGCTGCCGCTGTTGCCCGGGCGACGAAGAAGAGGAGGAGGAGGAGGAGGCGGGTCCCCTCGGCGTTGCTTTCGGTCCTCCTCCTGCTTCTCGTCCGCTGGCAGCAAGGAGGGCGCCCTGGGAGGCGGCATCCTTTCCGGAGGCGGAGCGGTGAGACGGAGGGAGGCAGGGGCTTGCCTCTCGGCTGCGCGACCCCCGCTCACTCCAGAGAGCCCCCAGCGCTGCAGGGAGATGGGCTGCGGCAACTCCACCGCCACCAGCGCCGGCAGCAGAGGTGAGGGGCAAAGCGAGAGGCTGGTGGGGCTGGAGGTGGGGGGCTTGGCAGCAGCGCCAGGGAGGATGCCCCGAAGGGTCTTGCGGGGAAGGAGCCCGGAGGCAGGTAATGGGAGGGCTGGAGGGCAGCAAGGGAAAGAGGGCTGAGTTGTTGCAAGAGGAAGGTGTCTGGGAAAGGACAGAGCAGCGAGGAGGCAGAGGAGAAGGCACGGTCTGTTCTAGAAGAAAAGGAAGATTCCCTTTGTGTGACTGTGTGTCCGGCAGGCGTCGAGGAGAGGCAGCCGCACACTTCTAGAAGTGGCTAGAAACTTCATGCCGCGCTCAAGCAACGCTGCTCTCAGGCAAGGGATGCAATGCTTGATAGGGGCGTGCAGGCACAATTCACTCCTGCCTGCCTCTACCCCCTACTACTACTACTACTACTACTTATTAGTAGTAGTAGTAGTAATTGACGGAAATGAACAAAAAATGCGTGAGGTTCTCCCCACCCACTCCCTCACTGGAAACAGCTGAAGCTGGGAAGGAAAAGGGGGACACACGCACCAAGTCCGCTGCTGGAATGCCATTCCTGAAGCTGCTTTGCAAAAGCAGGCGAAGAAAAGGTGTCCTGCAAAGCGATGCAGCCTGATTTTTTGGCGTGTGGGATCATACATCTCTTGGCTGACAAGTGCAGGGCTGGACTGCTGCGTGTCTATTTACTAGGCGTGTGAATAATGTTAGGAGTGCAAAGAGGCTGGCTGGAAAGAGTTATGGTCGCTCTCTGCAGCTGACCTTTCAGCATGACTTATCCTTTATTTCAAGCTCTTTTTTGTACTTGGCGGCTGATATTCCCTTCCTGAAAGGATTTGTCCTCTCCCCCCCCCCCCCCAGTAATACAAAAGGCCTTTTCTTTTCATCCACTTAAAATGCACATAACTCAGGGCGGGAACAATTGACTTTGCATTCATGCATTTGTTTTGGCACCACATCCTTGCCTCTCTGATGATGATGATGATGCTTCGGATTTTCTGTCTGTGAATGGTTCTGCTTTAAATCCGTAGATGTTAAATCATGGGAAAGTTTTTTTCTGTGTCAACATTTGACAAAAATGTGACCAGCATTCCCCCCCCCACTAGACGTTTTTGCAGCCCAGTGTCACTTGGAGTGGTTTCCAAGAGTTGTCATCCCGTTGCAGCTTGCTGGATTACCAGTGACAAACTTCTTTTATGTTTCATGGCTGTAGAGCATTTTGCACCTATGCAGCCCTATAATCAGTCCAGGAAGCACCACATGAATGCAGAAAGTTATGCTGTTCTACGGACCCTAAGATTAGCATACTGTTTCTTAGCCTTTGGAGACAGATGCTCATACCGCTTCTTCTCTGTATATAATTTTCATTAAGTTTTGTTTTCTGTTTTACAATTTAAGATACTCATTTTACATCCCTAATATATCAATGACTTCCCTTCTTCTCTTTCTGTGGTTCATTTTACATATCATAAATCCCTGCATATTTTACAAAAACTATACCATTCAGTATTCCATTATTGCATCCATCAAAACTTGTTTACACTGTTGAATTTATCTCAACCCTGCCAGCATTTTCAGCTGTATACAATTATTTCCCATATATTCAACGTTTTCCAATCATCTTTAAACGTATATTCTTCTTGTTCTCTTAGCTCATACCACTTCTTAGTGGTCCCGAAAAACAATGCATTCAGGTGCAATTACATCATTACTACTTTTATTACATTATTATGTTTATTTCCATTGCTTTGCAAATGCTTGCAGCTGTCCAATGTTATGGATGTTTGCTAGTATCAAGGTTCCACTGAGGTCAGTGGAACTAGCTCCTAAATGCACTTCCAGTGTTGTAACACTAAGGCTGCAACCCTGCACATGTTTCCTAGGTGTCTGCCACATTGAACTCAATGGCGATTAACTTTTGTGTAGACACATTTAGGACCGTGCTCCTGGGGAAGTTGGGATGTGCCTTTGATAGTCTCTAGCCCTTAGCTTCTTGGATATACGATGTTTTCCAGTGGATAGCAATGCACATCCTAAGCATGAGTTCCCAGTGACTTCTGCCACTGTAAGATGGCCCTGGACCATAAGCATTAATAGCAAGCTGTTCTTATAAGAAGGGTTTTGCTTTGCATTCCTCAACAGTTTGAGGTGCATCCAAGAAATGTAGTGTTGCAGGGTTATGAGTGAACTTATTTAAAGTTACTGCTCCCAGCACACAGACTGGTAGAGGGCCATTGGTCCAGGTCAGCTTTTCCCAACCTGATGTCCTCCAGATGTTTTGGGCTCCAACTTCCATTGCCCCAGCCAGTATTGACCATGGAGCTGACAAGTGTATACACTCAGACGTAGGCCCTAGTGGTGCTGACTCCCATGCATAGAATTGTAGCCTTGGAAACAGGAAATCTCTAGTCCTATTCATACAGTAGGGTTTACTTTCAAGTCATTATGCTGAATGACTATATTCTCATGAGCAAAGGTGAAGATTCTTAGGTACTCCTGTAGGAAAACATATTTAGAATTATGCTTCATGCCTGCCGTATATACTCAACTTCCTTTATCCAAAAGAAAATGATTTTGTCTATTGAAAATATGTGAGAAGAAATTCTGAGAGTTCTCTCTTGCTTAGACTGCATATAGCTTGTTGCTGTCAAAGCAAATATTTTTTCCATATCCTCAGTGGAAAAAGTATTAAAAATTGGTTTGTTTTTCAAAAGGTATTTGCACCAGATGCCTAAGATTCACACTACAGTTAGCTACTTTCACCTGAACACTGAACTATTCTGGGCTCATTTTGTGATATCAGGTAGCACGGGATTTGTGGTAAATAAAAACTAAAACTGAAATTCAAACTAACTGGTGCTGGGGGCGGGCGCATTGTAATTCCATATTTCTCTACTTGTCATCCCATTCAAGATTGCTTGTTCAGAGTAAATCCACAACAATTTCATGGCAGCGCTTTTCATTTCAAATCCTTTCTTGAGAAGAGGCATGGAGTTGTGCCTCTTGAAGGATCAAATGGTGCAAGTCTTATCTCCAGTAAATAGTCTTGTGGCATCTTTATGACTTAACATATTTGCTAGGGCTGTATGATTCAGGGCCTGGTCTGATACTTTGTAGCAGCCCCAATCTGACCCCAGGTAATCCAGAGCTGATCCAAACTGGATCCAGGTAGACCCAGAGAAATCCAATGCAGCTTCAACCTGCTGTGGCCGCACGCACACCGGGCTGACCTGAATCATCCCGAGTTGGTTTGGGATTTGGCCAAAGCTAGTGCACAGCCCTAGGACTTGCTATGGCATAGTGACTCAAAGTCTACACCCTGAGATGCATAAAGTGCAATGGGCATGGTGGGACTGGGGGGTGTCGAGGAAGTGTGCCATTTGAGAGGCATTTTTGCAAAAGTCATATGACCTTCCCCTTCCAACAGGACAACTATGGGAAGGAGTAAAGTGGTGGTGAGCCCCATTGGCATGATCTTTTGCATATTTTCATCTTGAAGTGATATACTTCAGCTTTGTAAAGAGGGTTGCCAAGAGCTGGAGGGCAGTAAAGGGGGAGGGAAAGAAGGAAGCCCAATTTCACTTTCAGACAAAATCCTGTCCTAATGCAAGCCCAAATACTTCTGAGGCTGGCTGAGCCAAACACCTCCATATCCCAATCCAGATCTTAGATGACTCAAACTCTGGTTCTGGGTCAATTGATCCTATGAAGGACAGGCTGGAGTGTAAGCACCTTAGTTTTGATAAGTGTCTCCCCTACAATGACCTGGATAGTACATTGTTGATGGAACAATGTGACTCAGATCATCATCTACTTGGCTGAGTTGGAATTATGATCCTCATTTGGAGAGAAGAATTATGATCCTCATATGGAGAGAAGGCAAGGAGGACCATTATAACATGGACTCTGACCCCATTAGAAGAGTGACTGAAGCAGACGGAAGTACTTTTTGCAAATATAAACTTGCAGTTCATTGGTGTTAAACAGAAATTTAAAAAAAATAAATACTTAGGTAAATTAAACTGGCTGTTAAATGAGCCACAGTTCCAGGGAACAGAAAGCATTATTAACCTTAGGAAGATGCTCATGAAGCTTGCAGGTTTGTATTTGCAAACATGTTATACAATTTGCACTAATTAGCTAACAGTTAGCAGCAAGATTGAAAATTCTCATCTGGCCCAAACACAAGAGGGTGGTGATTTTTGCTACTGTGATTTGTTTATTAAATCTCAGCTGGTTTATGTATATATCAGACAAAGTAAATCACTGTTAAATTAGTGGTGCAATGGAGAACATACTGAAATTCTCGTGTAATTTGCTAGGTCCGTCCCCGTCCCCCCGCCTTTCTCTCCCACAATCATATTTAGCCAGCTAGTGGCCTGAAGAACAGGGATGCGGGTGGCACTGTGGTCTAAACCCCAGAGCCTAGGGCTTGCTGATCAGAAGGTTGGCGGTTCAAATCCCCGCAACAAGGTTAGGTGAGCTCCCGTTGCTCGGTCCCTGCTCCTGCCAACCTAACAGTTCGAAAGCACGTCAAAGTGCAAGTAGATAAATATGTACTGCTCCGGTAGGAAGGTAAACAGTGTTTCCGTGCGCTGCTCTGGTTCGCCAGAAGCGGCTTAGTCATGCTGGCCACATGACCTGGAAGCTGTCTGTGGACAAACGCAGGCTCCTTCGGCCTATAGAGCGAGATGAGCGCGCAACCCCAGAGTCGTACGCGACTGGACCTAACAGTCAGGGGTACCTTTACCTTTACTAGTGGCCTGAAGGCCAGATCTGACACCTGAAGCAAATTAGCCTTATCCCCTGGCAAACTTACAAAATTTTAATTAAGGTGTGTTAAAAGTTTGCCCAAGTTTCCTAAAGAAACATTTCTTTTCAAGCTGTAAAAAATTAGAGATTTCCCACACTTTCCTATTACACTTCTGCTTAGATCCTTCATGTGTAATGTCCCACCTCTGCCTGAATGCTTGTGGTCCATATCACTGAAAG